GCGGCCGGGGAGGAGCGTGAGGGTACACGCGGGTGTGTGCATGAGAGTCTCTCCGAAGGAAATAACCCTAAATATAGAAAGCCCCGAGTGGGGCCCCAGGTGGGGTGATGGCGCGTGTCTTTGCGGGGCCACGGTGGTGCCACCGCAAGGGCCAGGCCCCACTGCAGCGCTGGCCCCGAGCCCGGCTGCCACCGGGCCCCGGCCCGCTCTGCACGCGCCGCCCCCTCACCCGCCCCCCGCCCCCGCCCCACAGCTCCCCCTGCGCCGGAGCGGCCACAGGGGCCTGGGCATCTGCTGGCCGCAAACCCCAGCAGCAGCCGTCCCTAACAGCCCTGCTGCTGAGCTGCGCAGGGCGAACGGCCGGAAGAGCGCGGCCGGTCACTGCCTCCGCGCCCCCCGCCCTGAGGTGGAGCCTGCCGGGCTCTCCGCAGGGGAGGCGCAGGCGAGAGGCATCAGGCCGTCCTGAGACACAGGCCCATCGACGACGGCGGACGGGCCCTTCCAGGGCCTCCCTGGCTCCAGCCCAGACTGCAGCCCCCTCCCCCGGGCCTGTCCCCTCCCAGGGGCGCTTGCCTCGGCCTGGAACTGGGTCAGGTGGGCGCCCGGGACGTGGGAGGCGCAGCCCTGCCCTGGCCCCCTGCCTCGGTCACCCCGTCCACCCCGTCCACGCTGTGGCCAGGTCTGGAGCCTGGCGAAGGGAGTGTCTCCTGAGACTGGGGCCGTGAGGAAGCCGGATGGTGAAGGACAAGACTGTGGGTCCCACTTACACAAGGCCTCTATTGGAGACGGAGACAGAAGGGTGGGGGCCGGGGGCGGGGCAGGGGACTGGGTGTCTCTCAGGGACGGGTCTCCGCATGCGGCAGCAAGAACGTTCTGGAGGTGGTGGTGGTTTTGGTGATGGTAGCACAACAGAGTGAATGTGCTTAATGTCACTGCACACTTAAAAATGGTTAACATGGTAAATTCTGTTATATGTATTATACCCCAATTTTGAAAAAATACATGTTAAATAAAAAGAAAACCGACTCAGTCCCTGTGGCCAGGGTCGCACGGAGAGGCAGCAGTGTCCCTCCTGGAAGGACCACACAGCCGCCGGCTTTTCTAAATCAAGTCCACTTTATTTGAAACTTTTCACATGCCACAAATTTACATGAAAACACCCATTCAAAATGTAGTTGGGACACAAAACTCAGGAGCAGGCATCACCAGACGGACAAGGCCTGTCGTCCAAAGGCAGGTGGCCCGAATCCGGTCATGTAGTACTTGGTTGCATGCACACCGTGACACCCCGGCGACTAACCCCACCGTTGGAAACATTCTGGGCTCAGCTGTTTCGTCAGAGCCGCAAGCAGAAGGGCAACGGCCTGAAACGGCTGGGGCTGGGGGGTCTGGCTTGGCCGCCCCGGCCGCCCCGGCCGCCTGGCGCACGCACACGCCAGGGCCAGAACGGCGGCATCGCCTCCCTCGGACCCGCTGTTCCAGGCCCGGGCCCCGGCCTCGGCTCCGCGATGGAGCGTGGCCCACGGGTGGCCCACGGCCACCGCGTACCCAGGTCCCCGGGCTACAAACAAAGCCCCACACGGGAGTGGTTTAGGAAAGGAAAGAGCTTCAGGAAGGGGAGCCGCACGTTCAGACAATGCTGGTCGGCCCGTGTGACCTGCAGTTGTTCTTAAAAAATGTCTGTACCCGACTTGTTCGTCGTGCCCAGTAGACCCTGGTCACTTCTAATTAGAACCTTGCATCCCTGGTGCAAATGGCACTGGTGACTGTCACAGGGGGCACCTGAGCCCCTCACGCACAATCCTGTCCCTTTCCTGCCTGTGGGGGGAAGGGCCGCAAGCGAGCCCACGAGAACCCCGGCTGCCCACACCCCTGCCCACCCCCCTCGACCTGGGTTTCATGGCTGAAGCTGCTGGAGCCCTCTGCCAACGGCTCCACGCCGTCCTCCTCACTGCTAATTTTATTTTTCTTACCAATAATTTCCTCACCGATTTCTCTTGTTTTTCTTGCAAGGTCTGAGCAATTTTCAAATCCCAAAGGAGCAAATGACGAGACAAAAACAAGGCAGCAGGAGGCTGCCACTGCCCCAGTGCCACTGAGCCCGGGGGTCCCCGGGCAGGGCCTCCTCGGCGAGGAGTGGAGGCCGCGGGCACGAGCGGGCCATGCGGGCTGCCCTCCGGGCCTCCTGGGGCCCCACCCCCACCCCACTTTTCTAGCCCAGGCCTCCGCCCTCTGTCCCCGCAGCCTCGGGAGCGTGGCCCTTGGCGTACCCCCCGCCAGGGCGTCCGCAGACCTGGCGGAGCAGAGTGCCTTCCCACGGCATGCACACGGGCCCACCCCCCAAGGCCCAGTGGGGGTACCTGGAGCCCCCGTCTCCTCAGGGCCCGGCGGGACAGCCGACAGGCAGGGAGCATAGGCCCGTCGCGTGAGCGAGGGGAGCACGCGGCACGTCCCCCTCGGCCTCCTGGCCTGGGACAGACGCACCCATGGGGGACGAGCCAAGGCTGGGGAGCAGGGTGGGGCCTGCCGCCTCGGTGGCATCCCTCCCCAGAAGCATCCGCAGGCCAGTGCTGGGGTGGGGGCCTCTCTCTTTTAACAAAGGGATACATGCCCGGCCCTCCTTCCTCACGCCCTCCCCCTCGGCACGCGCGTGCTCACATGCCATGCACACACACACACGTGATCACGCACAGAGCTGCGAACAGTGTGCACACGCACACAGCTGGCCACACGTGCAGGTACCACACAGACAGGCACGCACACACCCCGCGCCGACCAGGCCCCTCTCCACAGGCAGCATATGGTCTGCCGCTTAACAGCCTGGTTCTGCCGACCAGGGACCATTAGGGTGGGTTCTCTTCCCAGCGTAAAACGCTGCAGAATATAAATTGCAATTAACGCTGGTGCCAAAATGGCACTTAGAGGGAATAAGCACATTATTAACATCTGGCGAGTCCTGTCACGGGCGCAGGAGTGGCGGGGAGCCTGCTCCAAGCAAGAGGACGGCTGCAGCAAGAGGACGGCTGCAGGGACGCCGAGAACACAAGCCTCCCGCTTCCCCGCGCCCTCCCAGCCATTTGCTGGCGCAAGGGACGCCATGGGGTAGAAGTGCTTGCCCACGAGAACCGCCCATCAGGCAGGAGCTTGAAAACACTCAGCCTCCGGAGTAACTCCCAGGGGCAGGGGCCCAGATGGAGAGGACACTCAGAGCCTCCTGGAGCCCTGGGCGGGGAGGGCCTGGCCCCTGGGGGTCCGGGAGAGGACCGGTCACCTGCCTTCCTCCCGGGCCGCATCCCAACCCTCCTCATCACCCTCACCTGCTGGTCTCCAGGCGCCACCCCAGAGAAAAGCCCAGAAACTGGGGAGCGGGGTGCTCCCACCTCTCAGACCTTCACCTACAGCAGCGTGACCCTGAACAGGGACATCGGCCCCGCCTCTCCAGGGCCCAGGAGAGCCTGTCCTGCAGCCTTTGAGGCCGGGAAGGGACAGGTCTGGACAGTGGGGCCAGGCCTGCAAGGGTGAAGGGTGCAGATCTGGCGGGGGGCTGCTGGGGGGTACTCACCTGGACACAGAGCGCCCCCAGGTGCAGCCCGGGATGGGGAGGGCGCCCTGTGCTCAGGAGACGGCTGTGGCAGGGAAACCAGGGGGGCAGCGGGGGAACGGTCTCCGGCGGCACCTGTGTAAACGCACCGCCGGCTCGGTCGGAGCGGACATGGCGGAGTCGGAGCTGCCGGAGCTGCGAGCGGCCAGACAGGCTGTGTTTAGGAAGCAGCCGAGCGCTGGCGGCCTGGGCCCCCAGGGGAGGGCTGCTGACCCGTGCGCCCTCCTGGGTTCCAGGGAAGGGCACGGGGCGATGCCAAGGGGCCAGGCCCCTGTTGCTTTAACAGTGCGTCAACTGCAGGGCGAGCTTCACGGAATGGGGTGACCATCGCCATGGAAACAGAGTGGGAAGATGGTGGGTCAAGGACCAGCAGGACAGCGGGATGTGAGCAGGGCCTTGCGGGTTCGGCAGCCTGAGCCCAGGAGAGGGCGGCAGGTGCGGCGCGGGGAGCCCCCCGGTGATGCCCAGCGTGGGCGGGGCTCGGGGCTGGAAGGCAGAGGCAGCGGCTGGCTCAGGGCGGGCCTGGACCCCGGGGGCGGGCCTCGTTTTTGGAACAGCTGCGCGGAACATTTTTAAAGTGCTGAGCAAAGCTATCTGAGACAGGGCGACTGGGTCACTACCCTGGCCTTGAGCGTCTTCTCTCGTTTTTCTCATGAAGCCACACACGTCTGCTTCCCCAGAAACACACTTCCGCAGGGCACTGCAGCCCGGCCCCGGGGTCCCGGCCCGGCCCGGCTCTGGCCCCATCCGACATCAGCTGCCGGGCAACGCTGCACACAGCTGGCGAGGACGCGTCGCGCTGGGAAGGCCCAGACCTGCGGCCACAAGATGGGTGAGCTCCTCGCTGTGTCGCGCTTGCCACCGACAGGGGGGCTCACGTCACAGGAGAGCATGTCCACCCACAGGCACGGCCACCCCCGCCCTGGGCTTCAGGCCGCCCCTCCACTCAGCCCAATGGCAGGTGGCCAGGGACACCTGAGCAGAGGGACACCCCTGGAGGTTGAAGTGAGGGGCAGCACAGGCCACACGGGGCTCTGGGGACCTGGCCAGAGCCCTGGGGAGTCAGGGCGCCACAGTCCGAGTCAGTTAAACGCGCCCGCAGCCGGGCCTGGGGGTGGCGGAGGCAGGCGTGCCCTCCCTGTCCTTGTGCCCTCACAGCCCCAGCTCCCAGGGCGAGGGGCCCGCACAGGAGAAAGCAAGGGGATGCGCCAGAAGCCCCAGGGGCCGGTGGGTGCAGGGTGGCCAGGGGGAGGCCTCCCTTCCCCCTGTGAGCAGCCAGGGGTCCCGGAGTCCGGCAGGTGAGCTGGGACGCTGCAGGCAGGCGGTGAGCGTCGGCGGCGGCCCGGGCAGCAGGCGGGGGCTCGGCCCGGAAGGGCTCCCCCCGGGGCTGGCCAGCCAGTCACCACCACAGATTCGGCGGCTCCTCAGCCACTCTGCTTTTAAATAAGGTGATCTCGTCCAGGTGCACCATGGGGACATCCCGGATGACGTCAGTCAGGCCCTCGTGGAGCAGGGGGAAGATGACGACGTTCAGCGCGGGCCGCTCGGCCTGGAAACTGAAGCAGAGGTGAGCCGTCAGGAGCCGCGGCGGGAGGGGTGCGCCTGGGCCCTTCCCATGGGGGCTGGGCGGAGGCCCCAGGGCACACGGAGGGAGCCTTGCCTATGGGGGGGCGTTATCATGCATCTGTCTGGGCCCCACGGAGCGTCTGGCCAGGGAATGGAGGCAGAAAGAGGCCAGAACAGCCCCTGCATCCCTGGGCCGAGGGAGGCGGGCGTCGGGGTGGCGGGCAGCGCCCCAGGAGCTGCAGAACCAAGGACAGCACCTGCCGTGGGGTGGAGAGAAGGGACAGGGCTGAACCCCCACAGGCGGCCTGGCGGGGTACCAACTCCCAAGTCCAGAGAGGCAGCGAGTCTGCGGGAAATGGAGCCAAGGGCACCGCTGGGAGCCTGGAACCACCACCTGCAATGTGACGAGTGGCGGCCAAGTTACCTCCCCACCGCTGCACCCACAGGGCCCCCTCTGTGCAGGGGACGGGAAGCACGAGGGGCCGGTCTCCACGGAGCCCCAGCAGGCCGAGTGCGTGCTAAGTGCCGACAGACGCCCGTGCCACCCTCCCCGAGGCCCACGTGGCTGGCCAGCACTGTGACCCCCTTCCCAGCTGAGGGAGCAGGGCTTGGGGAGGCGGCACCCAGGCCGCGGTCCCTCAGCCAGTCAATGGCAGAGTGGGCCCCCCGTGCCCTGTCAGATGGGGGCCGGCCCTTGTGCAGCAGCCTGCAGACAAAGCCGGGCGCCATGGAAGCTCATGGAGAAAGGGGCGCAGCAGACCCCAAGGAGCAAGACAGAAGACACCCAGAGCCCAGGGCAACTGCAGTCGCGGGGAACCCGTCCCTCAGGTCTGAGCTGGCAGGAAGGGGGTGGGGGGCGCCACCTGACAGGGAGCCTGGGTGCTTGCCAGGAGGAAAGCAAGTGCCCCGTCCGGCGCCTGCGTAAAGGAAGGAGGAAACCTGGTCTGCCCGGGCCTCCCCCAGCCTCTCCCCGTGGCCCCCAGCACTGGATTAACGACTCATGTAAAGTCGATGCCAGGAAAGCACTCATAAAACTTGATGTTTGGGCCATAAAGACGCTGAGGAAATGCCTCCCAGTTCTGTGCAGGGCGTTTCGCGCGCTTCGCTCGAGGGCAGCGTTGTCTGTGACCGTGAACCTCGCCAGCAAGTCCTTGCCTGCCCACCCGCTGTGCCACTGACCTGACTTGAAATAGAATAGTCTCAGAGGTGGGGTGTGCGTGCAAAGGCGCCTTGCCTGCCCGCCCGCCCTCCCGCCCTCCCTCCCAGGGCTGCAACGAGCTGTCAATTTGCTGAAGGGGATGGATTTCTCAGCAAAAGCCGGGAATGCGGTGGCGGCAGCTCGGCCTCCATGCAGCCCCGGCGGCCTGGGCGGCAGCGGCCATCCAGGAGCCGGAACAGCGCTCGGGAGCCTGCACAGAAGGGCAGGGGCGGGGGTGCTGCTCCAGGAGGAGCCCACCACTCTCCACAGGCCGCCCCTCAGCCTGCTCGGGACGTACCTGCACCGGGCCGCCCTCCGCCAGCGCACCCCCGGCCCCAGTCCTCTTTGAAAAACCCTTCTGGCCCTGAGGGGCCTGCCACTCTCTCACCGGGGTGCACCGCCCCCACAGGGAGGGGGCCTCGCACAGAGCGAAGCCTGCAGCCAGTGACGACAAAGCAGGGAAGTCACAGGCACAGAGGAGGAACGGAGGAACCCCTCGCGGCCCAGGGCAGGGCTGGGGACCCCTCTGGGGGCGCGGGGCGCGGGGCACGGGCCCCACGGTGGAGGCGAGCGCTGGGCCAGGCGGGGGCGCATGCGGCCCCTGAGCTCCGTGTGCTCCACGTAACTTCTGTACGTATAACGTTCTCCTGCGTGACTCCAACATCGTTTGAGGTTCAAGTGAACAGATTCGATAAATAAAACAAAACTCCTTCCACCACCCTCGCCAAGAGGCCAGGTTGGGATGGTCACCACAGGCAGGACAGGTCGCCTCTCAAGGCCTTCCCCCTGCCAGGGCTAATCACCTGTCCAACGCCCCGGCCTGGAGTCACCAAGGACAAAGGCCAGGCCTGTGAGGCGACAGGCCCCTCCGCAGAGGCCCCCTGCTGCGCCCCCAGGCCTGACTCTGCCCCTGGCTGCTGCTGCGGGGCGGGGCGCTCATCAGGCAGGCGCCCCGCCTCCCCGGGACCACGGAGGCGGGGCCTGCAGACACGAGGCAAGGGGCCGCACTCAGGGCCTGCAGCCCGACTCCAGGCCCAGTGCCCGCCGGCCCGCCACCTGGCTCCCCCGGAAGCAGCGAGAGGTGACAGCCGAGGGGCAAGAGGAGACCTGGCAGCGCAGGGTGCCCAGGGTCACAGCGGGGCCGGCACGAAGGCCTGCCCCCCAAGGAGGGTCTGAGGGTGTCACTGGGGCCTTCAGAAAGACTGCGGGAAGCACTGAGTTAAGTCTGCCAGCACAGAGGCTGTGAGTGCCGAGTGCCCGGAGGGGAGTCTCTGCCGGGGCCCGGTGCGCACACCACCAAGGGCTCTGTGAGACTCAGCCACCCAGACGCCTGCTCTCGGCGCTCCAGGACGCAGAACAGACTTTTTTTTTCCTAAAAAACACCTGCGGGGTTTGCTTCTCTGCCTGGGAAACTAGAAACAAAATTAAAGTTGACAGCTTCTTCCCCCCAAAATAAAGGTCTTATAGAAACCCCAAAGCAATGAGATATATTACAAAAATCACCTGCACTGTTACAACTATGTCCGAGAAGCACTGAGGCCGGCGGCCCCCAAGCATCAGCCCGCTGGGAGCTGACACAGCAGCACCCATCAAAGGCCCTCAGAGCCAACACCGCCCTGAGCCCTCCAAGCTCCCGCTGGGCCTGCGGGGCCCCAGCGCCCACCTGGGCCCACCCAGGCCCTGGCTCTGCCAACAACCTGCCTCGCGGCTAGGAAGGGCAGCAAGGCCTTGCCTCTCCCCACGCGGAGCACAGGGCAGGAAGGACCGGGGTCTGAAACGCTCACTCGAGGTCGGCAGCATCTCCAGGTCCCACTTGGCGTGACAAGACTGAAAAGCCACAAGCCCCAGACCACTGGAGCCGTAATGTGAGTCAGAGGCTCTGGGACTGGAAAGGCCTGATCAACAACCGTGCCTCTGTGAGACTAGAATGTGGAGGAGTCAGTTTGGGGTCCCCGGAGCTTCCGTCCCTTCTCCTCCCAACAGACACCCCAGTGCCTCTCCAGGGTGACAATACAGGTTTCACAAACGCTCCCGGAAACCCTTCGGGCCCATCAGGGAGAAGGACTGCATCACCCGCCCGCCGCTGTCTCCCAAAGCCCCTCACTCTGTTACACGGGCTCTCCGTCCGACGGCGGCGGCAGCCTCCTCCTGGCTCGCCAGCCGCATGTCAGGCCACGGCTGGGGGCCCCGGGGCTCCCCGCCCAGGCTCCTGCTGACGGACGGCGGGTGGGTTCCACCCTTCTGCTAAGGCCAGGCCTGCTCAGACTCGCTTCGCAGCCGAGGGAGCAGCCCTCGGAGGCCAGCTTTCCGAGAGCCGGGGCCCGCCCCAGGGCCCACTGCCAAACCCGCACAGGCCCCGACAGTAAGAAGGGACTGTCGCCCTGGCCGGCGTGCCTCCGGGAACTGAGCACCAGCCTGTGGGCCGAAAGGCCGGTGGTTCGCCTCTCAGTCAGGGCACAGGCCTGGGTTGCCAGCCAGTGTGCAAGAGGCAACCGATCGATGTTTCTCTCTCACGCTGATGTTTCTCTCCCTCTCTTTCTCCCTCCCTTTCCCTCTCTCTAAAAAGTAAAAAACTTAAAGAGAAATGACGGTCAATGACCCAGCCGACACTTTCCCCAGCAACAGCGCTGCATGTGGGACCCCAGCCCTGCTGGCTGAGTCACAGGGAAAGAGGCAACACTGCAGAGCCGGGCAGGCGAGTGACAGAACCGTCAGGCACCAGGTGCTTCGTCCCCTTCGATAATCCCTGAGCGTGAGGCAGGGAAAGGGTGAGAAAGGAGAAGGGCACGGGGAGACGGACAGGGAAGCCGGCCTCTAGCGCTCTGAGCCCTCCACCTGGGGGCCCGCAGGCCGGTGGAGAGGACAAACCAAAGTGTGGGGCGTCAGCGCAGGTTACCGCGAACCATGGCGCCGCCTGCTGGGCACTCGCAGAAAAGCAGCGGGGATCTGGCCACAGGATGGCAGGAAAGCCAGCCCGACAGAGGGCCAACAGCTGCCTGGAGCCGCACCGCCTCCCCGCCCAGAAAGACCCGGCATAGGGGGCCACCAGGAAGCCATCTGCCTAGACGTACACAGAGGCCTCTCCCAGAATGTCGCAGGGGCTGCAGCTCCGCCCAGCCCCCAGCAGCTGGGCTGGAGGAGACAGGCTGTCCGCAGGCCTGGGTGTGGACACAGCTGGGCTGAACACGGAGGATCGGGAAGCTCGTGGGCCTCGTTCAGCATGTGGGGGCTGGGGGTTCGTGGGCCTCGTTCAGCATGTGGGGGCTGGGGAGCCTTGCAAGCACCCAGCACAGCCCCGTGGAGGGTGTGGGTGCCCGTCCCCTCTGTCCTTCCAAGGCTGGGGTCCTGGCTGCACTGTTCACTCACCTCGCAGAGCCTCAGTCTCCCCACCTGCACACCGGGGTGATGGAACGCACTTCACAGAGCTCTCGCGAGGTCTGGACACCACGGGCAGCCCCAGCGCGGCACGGACAGGGTACGCCGCGGGGAGGGGCAGGCGGCCCCCGGGCCAGCGTCTGCGGGGCGGGACCCACAGGGTCGGCAGGAGGACTGGACCGAGGCGTGTTCACGGCCACACCCCCAGCCCGAGAGCGCCAGCCCCTGCCTCCCCCCAAGGGGCTGCGGACAGGCGGAGGGGGACCACTGGGCGGAGCGGCGCACCACCCACGCGCATGCGCCCCAGTCCCTGGAGCCCACGGGCTGGGAGCTGCCCGGCCCGGCCCGTCCGCGGGCCAGCCCTCTGACAGCTCAGCGCCCGCAGACTCAGCCACGCCAGCCACGGGAGCCACCGCGGCCTCGCATGACGGACACCAAACAGCATTTAAAAAGGTAGTCTGGGGCTCTATTTACCGACACAAGAAATCCAAGAGGCGGCGTTAAATAAAGAAGTCAGGCGATGAGAACAGTGTAGGAGCTTCAGCCCGGTCTGTCCGCACAAGGACTGGAGAACCGCAGGGAGCCGTCACTTAAAAACGGCTTAGTCTATATTTTTAGAAATATTATAAACATGTATTGTTTTTACAGCCAGGGAGGAGAAAGCTCCAGCTAGGATTTCTCCTGGGACGTTCAGCAGCCAACCGCAAGGACAGCAGACCACGATGCGGTCTGCCCGCCGGGACGCCGGGGCCCAGGGGCCCGGAGACCGCAGCTGACAGCTCGTTTCAGGATTCTGGGGACAGCCAGGCCTCCTCCCTGTCATCTCCCTCAGCAGTGGGGATGCAGAAAGCAGGAGGCGGCGGCTGCGACCCTCTCGGCCACGCCGCAATGCGGGTGTCCGCCGTCAGCCCCCTCAGGGGCACCGCGGCGTCTCCGCAGGAGAGGTCTCCGAGCGCCCCCACCGGCTCGGGTCCGGTTCTCCCCAGGAGGCACTGCCCCGGGGTCCCCGGCCTGCATTCCCATTCTGGGAGTCCCCGCAGGCCCCGCGCCCACTCCAGGACGGCCGCCCTCACGGAGGCCGCTGGGCCCCGGTGTGCAGGACACCAGCCAAGAGGGCACCCACCTCTACCACGTCCCCCATGGGGGCATGAGGGGAACCCAGCCCCGGGGGATGAGAGCTGTTCTTAAATCCACCTCCTTTACCTGCCACCATCCAAAGAACCCCTGCTGCTAAATCTGAACAAAGTGCAGACACAAAAAATTTAAGAGTTCAAAGACCTTCGCTTCAATTCATAGGAACAGAAAGTGGAACAGAGGTTCCCAGGGGCTGGGGAGCGGGTGGGGAGACTGTCTCGCAGGACAGAGTCTCATCTTCTCAGAGAAGATGAGCGCGTGCTGTGGACGGACAGCGGCAACAGCCGCACGGCGGGGTGAATGCGCTTAAACGCCACTGTGCTGGACCCTTAAAAACAGTTAAAATGGTAAATTCTGTTATACATATTTTACCACAATAGAAAAAGAACGCCGAGCTGTAGAAAGAGAAGCGAGAGCTGTGTGAACTGGTAAGGAGTGGTTTCCAAGATACACCATTAGGTGAAAAGGCAGAGCGCGGCCGAGAAGCGCGTTCGAAGAGCCGTGGGTGCGCTCCCCGTGCAAAGGCCACGGGAAGGGCAAAGGAGTCTGGGAGGCGGGCGGGGTGGGCGGGGCCGGCGAGACGGGGAGTCGGGGGAGACCCGGGAGTCTGGGGCGGTGGGAGGGCGGGCCGCGCTTCTCCAAGCACGGCTTTCACAGAGCTGACTCTGCACCACAGGAAAGCGTCACGCACCGAAAAAACAAAGACATAAACCAAACAGGATGTGGGGCCAACGTAACACGGGATGGCACCCAGTAACAACCGGCCCTGACTGCGTTAGGGGTGAGTGACGTGACCACGCTGGAGGAGGCGGGAGTGAGGGACGACCGGAGACCCTGGGAGAGCGGCGTTCTGACTGGGCACCGTGAGGTGAAGACCAAGAGCGCGCGCAGCGGTCAGCGTCCCTGAAACGGCCTCACGCGTCCACTGGGGCGGAACAAGTCAGCAGCCGGGGGCGGAGTCGAGCCCCGGGAGGGCAGGCGACCAGGAACCTGCAGTGCGGGGCGGCGGCCGGAGGCCTCAGTGTGAATCCCTTCGGTGCGAGCGCCAGCGGATAACGCGGAAATAGATGCGGATGGGGGCGGGGCATCGACCAGTTCCCTCCTGCCGGGGGCCCAGAGGGCCGGGCCGAGAGGGCGAGGACAGCCCAGCAGCAGCGGGCACACCTAACACCCCATCTGGGTTCCTAAATACCACTCCCCCACACCGGGCACCCGGGCTGCCTTGGCGGCAGTCCATTCTAGAGCCGGGGCAGGAGTAATAGAAGAGGAGCCTGGAGCGGCTTGTGGTGACAGAAAGTAAGAGAAAGTGCTCAGAAGCGGGAGGGGCAGGGTCAAAGGGCACAGGACCCGAAGTGCAAGAGCAGCCCGCAGCCACGTTGGGAACAACCTGAGCCCCCGCATGGGCCCTCCAAGCCGTGTGCGAAAGCCCACGGGAGCAGGTAACTCGGGAGCAGGTAACTCGCACAAACCGCGCCCCGCCCCCACCCCCCCCCCCCCACCCCCCCGCCGGCGCCCCGCACAAGGCCACGGGCCGAGGAATGATGCAGAAATAGGCGGAGGCGGCGCGGCTGTCCCACAGCAGAGCTCCGCCAACCAACACGGAGGGAGGGAGGGAGGGAGGGAGGGACACAGCGTCCCTGCGCAAAGGCCAGGGCGGCACAGTGACGACTCCGGAGGGCCGGCTGGTCTGACGGGAAACGGCATCCGAAGACGCGGGCCTGGCCTCCCCACAGGTGTCCACTCATCAGAGAGGGAGCGACAGCGACTTCGCAGCGGAGAAACCTGGCAGACACAACCTTGCCCATGCGAACAAGGCCAAGCCCACCAGTGACAAGACCTGAGGACACCGTGTGCCCCTCACATGATGTGATGAGAGGGGCACAGCATCGCTTCTGCCATTTTCTGGCCAAAAACATCAGACAGACCCACACAGATGGCCATTTTACGAAATACTAATGCTCTTCAAGTGTCAAGGTCACAAGAAACCAGAAAAAACTAAGGAGACGTGACCATGGAGCCAGGACGAGGGCTCTGCGTGGAATCCTGGAACAGAGGACCGCGGGGAAACAGACAATTCCGAGGTCCGCGGCGGCCTAGCCACACTGCACCGTTCCCCAGCTTTCGTGACTGTGCTGTGGGGACGCGTGTGATATCACGGGACACTGGAAGGTGAGACCGCTTTGCCGTTGGGGTGAGGGGACCTCAACTGTAGAAAATGAGCCCATGCAGAGAGAGCGCCTGAGGAGAGGAGGCCCTGCGGCGGAAGGAGCCGCCCTCCACCCAGCGGCCCAGCGCTGCAGGAAATACACGGGGGGCCCTTGAGGGTGCCTGGGGGAGGCACAGCAACGAGGGCCCTTCAGGGACCGGCCGGCGGGGGGCGGCCCCCGGCCCCCGCAGCCCTGCCAACCGCGCCCACTCACCTTCGGAGGAGGGTCTGCTGCAGGCTCTTGCAGGTGGCCAGGGACTCCCCGGTGAACAGGTGGCACACGACGAGGTGCAGGCAGCGGGCCACGAAGGCGAGCACGGCCTCGGGCTGGAGGGTGCCGCTGCGGGAGACCAGGCACAGGCGCTGCAGCGCGGAGCACTGGCTCAGCGCCTGGAAGAACTGCGCATTGGCGCTGAAGTAGGGCTGCTCCAGCCTGCGGGGAGAGAGGGCGGTGTGAGCCCGCAGGAGGGTGCAACGCGTGCGGCCAGGGATGGGACGGGACGCGTGTGCTGCACACACAGCCTCGCGGTCGGGGCCCGAGCACAGCGAGGCCCAGCCCTCCCCAGTGAGCAACCAGGCCCTGGCGCCGGGCACATGGCAGTGCTGGCCAGGCAGCAGCCACGGCCGTGGGGACAGGGCTCTCTGAGCATCCCCCGAGACCAGCCAACATATCCACGCAGCCACCTCCGCCACCCGCCCAAGGCCCAGGACTGCGTGCCAGTCACTCCCTGCGGAGACGCTGTGTCGGACCAGCTCGTGTCTCTCCAGGCCGTGGCCCTGCCTGTGGAGCAGATGTCCCTGTGGAGGCTCAGGCAGGCCCTCCATCTGCACGGCGCACCCACAAGGAGCCCCATGAGGTGTTTCTCAGCACGAACCGAGGCGGCCAGGCCGGCGGCCTGGCGCACTGCTGCGCAGAGGTCTGCGGCTGTGCGCTCGTCCCAGGGGAGAGCAGCCCCCACACGGGCAGGAAATGCCCGCACCACCCCTGGAGGGCAGCGGGCCCGCACGGGGGTCAGAGTCCCTACGCAGTCCCCCCAAGTCCCCAGGTGGAGGGAGAACCCCAGTTCTCTGAACGCAGTAACACAGAGAGGCTGACCCACCCAGGACACAGTTACGGAAGGAGCAGTCCCCAAACCCCCACAACAGCTGCACAGGCCTCATGCTGGTCTCCTTGTCCCGCCACCCGGGGACACTAAGGAGCCACACCACGGGGAAGGGATTTCAAAGTCGGGTCCGTGAGAACAAAAGGTCACCCAGACGGTGGTCCGACAGACGCCCTTGCACCACTGAACTGTCGGTTCTGAGCCGCCACCCTGTCTGGGAGCCACTGGGCACTGAAGAGCAGCCAGGGAGACCGGCCTCGAAGTGGGTTTAATGAAATGTAGTAGAAACCCTGGTAAGCTCCCGATGCTAAGACTGCGGGGTAAAACGTGGGTGCTCCTGAGAGTGACCGCGAAAAGCCGCACGTCGCCTCCCACCTACAGCCCCGAGCGTGCAGGAAGGGAGCCCCCAGCAGGGCTGCCTGGGCGCAGACACCAGGAAGAGCTGCCCGGGCAGCCAGAGCCGGCATTGGGACACCCCCGCCGTGCACGGGCCTGTCCCTGGGCCCCCTGAATGAACTTCCCCTGAGAGAGCCGGGACTGGCGCCGTGGGCAGAGCGGCGCCCGGCCGCAGAACCGCCCCAGCAGAGGGACAGGTACCGCCCTCTCTCCGCGGCACCTGGACAGCCAGCAGGTGCTGTCCCACGGTGGCCTAAATGTTTTTTCCCCTGAAAACCATGAACACATCAGTTTGAAACAACCCTAAGGAGAGCATCTCCTTGCAGACCTGCAAATAGGAACATTGGAGGGGCCCACGTTCCAGAACCAGGACTGCTGAGCTGCCAGGTGGCCTCTGACTTGAAGCCACTACGGAGCAGGGTGTCAGGGTGCAGCTGGAAGGCGGCCGGCGGGGACAGGCCTGCGTCTTGGTCGCTAGGTGGCGATGCAGGTCTGTGCTGCTGCCACGGAGACCCAGCTCCAGCTCCTGGGCTGTGAACCGGTCGGCAGGTGTGCACCGTGTTGCGGACACACTGTAGAGTGTTTTCATCTAGCCGGCCACGTCCAGATTCTCCCACCCTGAAGGAGGCCGCCTGTCACAGGGGTTCAGGCGGGTCCGCTCCGCGGTCTGGCAGGTGGGGCTGCCTGTTCACCTGCCCCTGTCCCGTCAGAGCAGACCTGGTGTGAGTGGCCTTCGGGGTCTCTGGGGAGGACAGGGGATGAGGAAAAGGTGTCTCCCATGAGTGGCTCCGCCTGGGAGGCCAGCGGCCCTTCTCCCTACCACCTGTACCTCAACCTCCCGACCAGGGAGGACCTGGCCTCCAACCCCCCTGCCGGAGAGGTGGCTCAGATTCCCCAGGCTCTGTGGCCACAGGCAGGGCTTGGGCCACCCCTCCTTCTGCCTGCCCCGCCCTCTGGCCGCCCAGCAGCGCCCAGGCCTCTAGGGCGATCATGGGACATCTCTGGGGCCTGGCTCTGAAGGGCTCCCTTGCATCTGCCCAGACGCCTTCCCAATTCCAGGTCACGGGCAGCCGAGGGTGACTCAAGGTAACACACCCTCCCTCCTCCACAAGGCAGGGCTCAGTCATTCTCAGGACAGATGGTCCCTCCTCTGTCCAACCTGGAATCCTCTGGCTGCCGAGGAGTGCCCCACGCACCTGCAGTTGGCAAGGCCCGGGCACCACGCCCTGTCTCCACACTGCCCCCCACAGGAGCGGCCCTGGCTGCACCGAGGCACCAAGCTCGGACTCCTGGGCCTCCCTGGAGGGAGTGGCAGTGGCAGCAGCCGGGCTGGGGCCCAGAGGCTGCCCTATCAGGAACACCTGCCGGAAAGTGCAGGAGCTGCTGGCGCGCAGCCTCTGCTGAGTGCGGACCCTTACCAGGGTCCGCGGCTGCCGCCCACGCGGCCGGCGGCACCTGCCCATCTCACTCCCGCCCCCCTGAAGAAGGCAGGGATCCACAGGGACAGGGCCACATGGCCGCACTGGGGAGAAGCCGGTGCCTGTCCTGAACAGGCAGTACTCGGCCCCGACCCGGCGTGCACAGAGAGGCCGTTAGGAGCTGCAGTCTGGCTCTCGGGCGGCCCACAAAGGCCATCTCTCCGAGGCCCGCAGGCCTGCCCAGCCACATCGCTCAGGCTGCACGCACGGCCCTGCTCCTGGGGAAGACCTTGGCCACAAGGGTCATGTTGCAGGCCAGGGAAGCCACTCGGCAGCCACTAAATGTGCTGCACTACCCCATTCAATACCCAGTGGCCCGTGAGGCAGAAACGCTCCCAACTGCCCACAGACCAGCTGTGTCACCCGGGCAAGGTCCTTAACTCTCTGGGCCTCACTTTCCTCACCTGCAAAATGGGTCCACAACATCTACCCTCCTGGGGGTGCTGAAAAAGGGTAGTACCTGTACCCGCAGGAGAAGCACCATCACAGCTGCCCCAAGTGAACCCAACAGCAGCCACGGCCGCCGCCGCCTGTAGCCTCTGGGACACCTGCCCACTCCACCTACCTCTCCCTCCCTGCGGCTGCGGCCCGCTCACCTGTGCTGATGCTTCTTCCTCCTCCTCCTGACCAGTGCTTGTCCCCCATCTGTGGTCTCTCCAGGCCCGCGTGCTGGCTGGGGATGGCTCCCCCACGGGGGCCCGGGGTCTCTCAGGCTCGCGTGGACACGTGCACAAGGCTCCACTCGGCCTCCCCCTCAGCGAGGGCAGCTGCTCCGGCTCAGCTGCCCGGGCCAGGGGCCTCTGACCCACCCAGACCACCCACTCCCCCCAAGCGCCCAATCAGCCGGCAAATTCTCGGTGAATTCAGACCCAGCCACTCCTGGCCACCCCTGCCTTTTGTCCTGCCCCCGCCCACCTGCTGCACCAGCCTCCAGCCTGGCCCCCGGGTCTTTTCCAAAGCCGCCGCGGGGCCGGCCCTTTCGCCTGGAAGCACGTCCGGCATCATGGGCCCGCTGCTCCGGAAGACCCGGCACACCCGCTGCCCAGCCCTGCGCCCCCTCAGCTCCGTCCAGCAGCATGTTCTGTGCTAACGGGGTCCCTTCCTTCCACATGCGATCCGCCCCACACCTGGCCCTTGCGACGCAGTTGCTGAGCCCCTGAAACGTGGCTAATGTCGCTGAAGAACTGGAGGCTGGATTTCATTTCACTTTAGCTCATTTAGAGGAAGGTCACCCTGGGGCTCATGGATGCTGCCAGCTGGTGCGCTGTGACCGGAGGGTCCCCCAGTTCTGCTTTGCTGGCTCAGCTCCCCGAAGCCCTCCCTCAAATCTCACCTCCTCCGTGAACTGAACCTCCACTGCCGGCCCCGCACCCAGGCACTCGCACCCTGCTCTGCCCTTTCTCCCCGGCACTTGCCACCCTCTGACACGCCCTGTACTTCCTCTCCTGCATTCGCTGCTGCTCTGTTTTCCTCATGAAAACGTAACTCCCACAGACAAAGACCTCTGCTTTGTTCAGCGCTCCAGGTCCTAGGACAGTACCTGGCATACAAGGGGCTGGAACGTTTGAGTGAATAAAGAACTAGACTGACCATGTATTACAGGTGCCACGCCCTGTCCCCATGCCTTCTCAGGAGGAGGTCCTTCAGTCTCAACAGTCCCACCTTGCAGAGGAAGGAGCTGGGCACACGCAGCCCAAGGCTGACCCCAGCTGTCTGACTCCAGGACCCCTGCCGTGGTCGCGTCCCACAGGACCGTCCTTCACCCAGGTCCCTCAGGAGGGTGAGAGGCTCGAGGACACTGGACAGCTCAGACGCTACCCCCGTGTCCCCTCGCCCACCGGGCAGAGCAGCTCCGAAGAGGCCAGACACGTGCCTGGACCACGAGCCTGACCCACAGCCCCGGGAGCTGGGGCCTTGGAGCACTGCTGTCCCCAGGTGGCAGTAGACACGTAATGAAGGCCCTGAACACGAGGCAGGCACGAGGAGGGAGGCGGAGGATTTCGTTACCCAGGGTGCGTTGAGCCGAAAAGGCAGGAAAACCCTGGGGCTCCTGGGACCTGCCCCGCCCTCCGCAAGGCCAGCGCTGGGCAGGCCGGGCTTGCAGGGGGCGCAGACGGAAAGCTGCGTGCAGCCTGGCAGGGGAGCTCTGGGCGGCTCTGTCCAGGTCTGGCTGGTTTCCTGTCATGGGAAACCTTCTGAGGGGGAGAGCGGAGGTCTGCAAAGGATACACTTGTCTCCATTTTCCATGGCTCAAGGGCCAAGGTCAAGTTCTGGAGCCAGATGGACCTGAGTACATCCTGAACCTCAGCTCCTGCCTCAAGCCGCCTCTGCCCCGCAGAACAACGGCTGGTGTCCTGGGGATCAAATCAGACAGTGCCTGAAAGCCCCTGGCTCCGGCCCTGAGCACAAAGTGATGCCAGCCATCCCTTGTGGGGACAACACCTCGTGTCAGGGTGCCCTCTGGCTACGGCCTGTCAGAGGGGCCAGCTCGCCGATCTCAGGCCCCCATGACCTCCTCCCCTGTCCGCAGCCCTCACGCAGCCACGGTTTGCTTGCCGCCACCCGCCCACCTCCCCAGCCCCGCCGATTGCAGCTGCCCCGAGTCCAGTCACCGCCCCGAGTCCCCGGTCAGCCCCGGCCCACGGCTCTCGGCTCCTGGGGGCGGGTCTGCATCTGGCTTGTCCGGGCAGGCGTGTGGCAGGCCTGCTAACGCTCACCAGCGAAGGGCCCCGCTACTCTCTCCCCTTCCGCCGTCCCCAGGCCTGAGAGAGCCAGCCGAGGCCACGGAGGGGCTGCCAGGCCCCTCACCTGAGGTCCTTCAGCCGCTTGCAGTGCTTCAGCATGTCCGAGAGGGCAGACATGTAGACCACCTTCCCCATCACGCCCAGGTTGGCCAGCGAGAGGGACTGGAGCTGCTGGCACTGCAGGCCGATGCTGACCAGTCCGGAGCCCGTCAGAATGCTGGGCAGCTGGGCCAGCGTCAGGTGCCTCAGGAAGGCCAGCTGGCCAATGGCAGCCACTTCCGCGTCCCCAACGTTCTGCGCCCGGCTGCAGGGCGGGAGGGAGTTGCGGATCGCGGGCTCGTTGCGTGGCATGGCAGAGGAGAAGTTGGACCCGATCAGCTCGAGGCGTTCCAGGAAGGGCAGGCTCTTCAGCAGAGACCAGAACACGGAGGAAGGCTGGGGGCCCGCCTGCCCCGAGAAGGGGCTGGGGCAGGTCTGCACACCGATGCGGACCTTCTTGCCGAAGCCGCAGGGCACGGCGTGCATGGCGGGCTGGGCGGGCTTGCAGTCGGCCCGCGGCGCCGAGTCAGCCACGGAGCAGACGGGCAGGGACAGGGAGCGCAGGTGGCACAGCCGGGCCAGCAGCTGGCACAGGTGCCTGCCGGGGCCCTCGGAACTGTGGTGGTGGGCGGCCGAGAGGTTGAGGTGCCGCAGGTTGCAGCAAGCCGCCACCAGCGTCTCCAGGATGCCACTGTCGATGTCGTCCTCCGCCTTGCGCAGCAGCGAGTCCGGGGACAGGCAGTGGACACAGCCGCTGAGGTTCAGGCTGGCCAGGCTGCGGAGGTCCTTGCCACCATTGATGATGCGCTGGATCAGGTGGCCGCCGGACAAGGTGCACCGGCTGAAGCTGAAGTAAAAGGGGTTGTTGAACTTCATGTGCTGGAGGAGGGACGAGCCATTGAGCCAAGACCGGGGCAGCTGCAGGGCGTCGAGCGCGACGTTGCGTGCCATGGAGTCCAGGAGGTTCTTGGTGGCCCCGCTCTCGGCGAAGCTGCCGGGCACAGAGATGAGGAAGGCATGCAGGTTCTCCGGCGTGCGGTCGCTGAGCACGGCCAGGTAGAGCCGCACCACCTCCTGGTTGATGTAGCCAGGCGCCAGGCGGGCGTAGAAGACCCGCAGGTTCTGGTAGTGGGGCACGTTGCTCTGGCCCACCATGAGCTGGCCCGAGAGGATGGCGCCCTCGCGCGTGCGGTCCAGGATCTCAAAGTAGAGCAGCAGCTTCTCGAGGCTGGTGCAGCAGGGCACCACGCCGTACGAGGGTGTGAACAGTGTCTGCTTGAGCTCCCGCACACGGCTCAGAGTGGCCTTGCATTCACCACTCAGCTGGCTGGCGTCGAAGCCAGGGCTCACGTCGATGGCCAGGGAGCGCAGGTGCTGCAGAGCCGACAGCATCTTGGACAGGCGCAGGGAGGTCAGGTGGCAGCCGGAGAGGTTCACCTTCACCAGGCTGCGGCAGCGCGCCACGTGCTCGATGGTGGAGCCCGACAGCCAATAGCAGCCGGCCATGTTGAGCTGCTGGATCTCCCGGCCGATCTCCTTCACCAGCTGTTTCACCTTGTCCTCGCTCGCCTGCAGGACGGGACGGGGCGGGGACAGGAAGGAGAGGGGGCTGAAGCACCCAGGGGTCGCCCTCGCCCCAGGCTGTCAGGGCCCACAAGGCCTGCAGAGGCCCCGTCCCCTGGCAGAGGGGGACGCTCCGGGAGAGCTGGCGCCTCCTCTTCCTCCCTACACACGCACCTCCAACCAGCAGTCAAGTCCCAACCGGTGAGGATGTAACAGGCGCAGCTGCGGCAGGACAGGGGTGGTTCCTCAAAAAGCTCAGCATGGAGTCACCACGTGATGACCCAACAATCCCACCCCTAGGTGCACACCCACGGGCACTGAAAACCAGGACTCAGACAGACCCTCGCACACCCACGTTCACAGCAGTATCACCCGCAGTGGCCGAAAGGTGGAAGCAGCCTGAGTGTCCACCCACAGATGAAAAATGAACAAATGGGGTCCATCTACACAGCAGAACGCTATACAGCCATAGAAAGGAATAACATTCTAACCGTGGCTGGGGGGCTCAATTGGTTAGAGCATCATCCCGAGACACCGGGCTATGGGTTCGGTCCCCAGTCAGAGCAAATACAACGATCAACCAACGAAGGCATAAATAAGTGGAACAACAAATCGATGTTTCTCTCTCTCTCTCAAATCAATTTTAAAAAAAATTTTTTAGCCCTGGCCGGTGTGGCTCAGTGGACTGAGTGCTGGCCTGTGAACCAAACAGTCGCTGGTTAGATTCCCAGTCAGGGCACAGGCCTGGGTTGCAGGCCAGGGTCCCCAGTAGGGGGCGCACAGGAGGCAACCACACATTGGTGTTTCCCTCTTTTTCTCCCTCCTTTCGCCTCTCTCTGAAAATAAATAAAATGTATTTATTTTATTTTCATAAACTGTAATGTAAGAAACACATTCAGAGACCGAGCACAGAGCGGCGGCGGCCAGCGAGCGGGGGGAAGGTGGATGGAGTGGATGGCGGCTGTGGCAGAAACAGACCACGGCGCTGCGATGGCCTCACACACCTGCAGGGCACTGGGGGTGAACCTTTGAAGTTCTCGTTATAAGAAAAATATTTTTAGAACTGTAAGAGCATGAATTTTGGTGATCGTTTTGCAACACTTATAAATAGGGAATCGTTTCGTTGTACACCTGAAGCTAAAACACAGAATGGGCAAAACTAGGTTTACAGTTGTTCATGGGGAAAATAATACAATAATAAATGATAATACAGGAATAAATTGTTTTGCATACTCATCACTGTAAGTCTACTTCTGCCCACCCTATATAACGTTATGTATATAAAAAAAAAGGTGGTCACCACACAGGGGGAAGCCTTGTGACCTCAGGTCTCACAAGGATTTCTTCAACAGAGTACAAAGAGCATGAATTCAAAAATTCAGTAAATTGGACTTCCCCAAAATTGAAAACTTATGCTCTTCAAAATCCACTTTTAAGAAAATGAAACGGCAAGCCGCAGACTATGAGAAAATACTCAAAATGCGCGTATCTGACAAAGGGTTTGTGTCCAGAACACACACAGGACTCTTGGAACTGGCTAAGGAAAAGAGGGACGACGGGAAATGGGCAGACGCCTTGCGCAATCCCGCCTGTGAAAAGCTGCACAGACGGCCCACGCAGCTGAGGGAAAGACAGTGAACCACAGCCTCGGTCAGGGAGACACAGGGAAACCACTGAGGTGCCACGTTCCACCCGCTAGAACGGCCGAAGCTCGAAAGACTGACAACGCCGAGTGGGACCAAGGACGCAGGGCAGCCGGCGGCAGGCGCCCTCCTGGCGGGTGTCAGTGGTGCCGGCAGCAAAGCAAGCACCCTCCCGGGACCACGTCCCCGATGCCTGCACCCTCCTCCCCGGTGGCACGCTCCCGTACTTCTCGGCCCCTGGTTTTTGTCACATGGGGATCTCAGAGGCTGTCCCAGTCAGGGCTCTGAGCGCCCAGCTCCTGTTGTGAGTGGCACTGCGCTCGGGCCGCTCCCCACCTCCGGCTCGCACGCACAGGCGCCACGCCTCACCTCGTAGTCCTTCTGCAGCAGCACAGTGTGGGTGAGGCTCTTGTCCAGGCACAGCTCTGCGAGCTTCCGGCAGGTGCGCCGGACGTTCACCACCAAGTCTGTGCTGGGGATATGGCTCAGGATGTGCAGGAGGATCTCGTCGGAGAAGCCCAGCAGGTGGGCGCTGCCCGCCGTCTCGGCTGCTGCAGGGGGCACGTCGCCGTCGCTGGACATGTCCTGAAAATAAGGGGGTACCAAATTCCCATGGGACCCCCCAAGGGAAGCTCTCAGCCCGGTCTTCCAGCCAGGGAGAGGGTCCGTGGGAGAGAAGGTGCTTTTACCAAAAACCTTAACTGCAGAGCAAGAACCATGACACTCGTCAAAAGCTCGTCTTAATCTGCGCACCAGGACCTCTCTCCAAAGAGAAGAGATTGGAAATGCAATTGCAAGTGGGCTCTGTGGCACAACGAAATGAAATGGCAATTTTTTTTTTGAAATTGCAAAGTGATTTTTCCTGCTGAAGAACTTCGGTCAAGTCTGGCATGTTTCAGACTCAACTTACGACCACCGGCCAAGGTTCTCTGTGAAACCTGCTACCCTACCCCTCGGCCCCAAATGTCAAGCTGTATTGGGACTGTAATCCTCGGGGAGGAGAATTCTATGAAGAAACAACAACTACTGGGGACAGTAACGGGGTCCCTCCCAGGGCTGGTGTGATGGGTCAACGAGCCACCGCATACGATCCTCAGAACCGTGTGGACGGTGACTCTTTCCAGCCCTGTCACTATGGGCCAGTAAAACGAGAGGGACCGCTGCTGTGAGTGAAACTATGAAGTCCTTACAAACAAGAAATGGCAGCCCTGACTAGACTGGCGACATTTTTCAGTGTTAAGATTGGTAATAAATCATAGGGCCTGCTCAACCTATCTCCATGTATCACACATATGCTTAGAACCCGTGTTGGCATTTCCAGCAGGACACCCGCAGGCTTCCTCGTGCTCCCGCAGCTGCCTGCACGGGTTCCTGCCCGAAGGTGGGCCTTCCGGCCGCCTGGCCAGCGCCTTTTCGATGTGTACAACCAAGAGGGAGGAGCTCCGCCTCGGTCAGGGGGACACGAAATCCCCAAATCAAGGCCAAGGGAGTTCAGATGCTCTAAGGGGAGCCCACAGGGGAGGGAGTCCATGCATCCCCAACACTCCCCAAAGGGACCTTCCTGCCTCTAAAACATCTGAGGGGCGCCTCCCAGCCTCCGCCCAGGAGGGTGCCTGAATTCGCTCTGCTGACTGACGTTTCCAGCAACTCTGCCCACAGCCCCTGGTCCGGCCTGAGTTTTCTACACTGATGTTCATGGATCGAAGTGTTGACATTTGGGAAGTCCTGCCGCTGCCACAGCAGCCGTGGAGTCTGGGGAGGCAGAGCCCGTCTACACCCCGACGCAGGCACTGTGGGGTTCCACCCTGTCCCACCAGGCCCTGCACCCACCAAGCCCTCGCCAGGCCAGGCAGGGGTTCCCAGGAATGAGTCCAACCTGCTCACCAGCACCTCCCTCTCTTCTTCCTAAGAGGCAGCAGCCAGCCCCGCGTTCACTCCCCTCTCTCCTCTCGACCTGACCTCCACCCATCTTCCCTCTCCTGCCGCTGGTGCACAGGGGCAGCAGGCAGCTGTCAGACCCCCGTCCGCTGCTGCCCTGGGCTGCTGCATTCTGGGTCCAATGTTTTGGGCCATAAGTGAGTTTCCTCATAAATGTCCCCAAACCGATCACCTGAAATCCCGCCCAGACACCTGTTGAAAATCAGATTCCCAGACCAACCCTAGACCTAGGGACTCCATCCGCAGGGAGAGGCTCAGACAGGGACAATCCCCAGCAGGCAAGCTGGCAAACAGGGCTCTGGCACCGAGGGAGCTGGGGGACAAGACGGAGGGCCTGAGGTGGACCCTCCCTGATCCCCAAACTGCAGATTTACCAAGGTAAGAACGCTGCCGCAGAGTGCCAGGAACACAGGGCAAAACACTGCAGGATCATGTAATTCCCAGTTATACTACTACTGCTAAATTTCTCTTAAAACCACCTAAAAATTACAAGAATTAAAAAAGAAGGAAAAAAAAAAAAAAAAGCCAGGAACTGAGTCATGGCCTCCTCCGCCCAGTCTCAGCACATCCCAGGAGATGACCTTTGGCACATCCTGTGCCCTAATGCTGGGTGGCCTGGAGGAGGAGGGGCCACCCTGGAAGCAGGTCTCATCGCTCCGCTGGGTCTCGGACCTTCAGCTGAAATGCTCCCTCCTCCACGAAGCCCTCCTGGCACCCCCTAGGCCCCCTTCACCCCCCTCCGCCCCTCTCCCACCTCCACCGGACATCCTCCTCCCGCTCCAGAGCCCAGGCTCCTCAGGTGGACAGTAACAGCCTGCTCGCGCGTGTGTCCCCTCATGAGGCCAGGAATGGCTCCTGAATAGGGATCCCTCTTTAACACCCAAGAGGAGGAGGTGCTGAACCAAGGGAGTCAACAAACCACCTGCTTCAGAATCATCTGAACTAGAAGTGGAGCTCTGCTCCTCAGAAGCTCTGGGAGGGGCCCTGGCATCTGAACGTAAAACCCGCAGCGACTGTGCCCTGGCGGGTGTGGCTCGGCTGGTTGGGCAGCGTCCTCCCACAAACCAAAGGCTGCAGGGTTGATTCGCCTGTCACAGCACCTGCCTGGGTTGTGGGCCCGGTCCCCGGCTGGGGGCGTGCAAGGGGCAATGGATCAATGTTTCTCTCTTTCTCCCTCCCTTCCCCTCTCTCTGAAAATAAATAAGTAAAATTTTTAAAAAATGATATAAGAAAAACCCGCATGACTGGTTGGTCACAGCATTATCCCCGCAGGTCAAGGCTGCAGGTTAGATCCCTGGCGAGGCCACACACAAGAGGCAACCAATGATTACGTAGATAGTTGGCACAGCAAATCGGTGTTTCTCTTTTTCTTTTCTAAATAATAGTAATAAAAAAATTAAACAAGTGATGACTTTCAAAATCAGCACACACCTTTCTGAAATCAGATTGTGAGGATGTACAACCCTGTGAATATCTGTATATATATATTTTAAGCTAATTTCCTTTCCCTTTTTTCCTTTTTTTGTTCATCCTCACCTAAGAATATCTTTATTGGTTTTAGAGAGAAACTTCGATGTGAGAGAGAGAGAGATCAATCAGTTGCTGCCCATATGTGTACCGACCAGGGATTGAACCCACAACCCAGGGATGTGCCCTGACGGAGAATCAAACCCACCACCTTTTGGTGAATGGGATGACACTCCAACCAACTGGGCCAACCAGCCAGGGCATGAATGTTTTTTAAAACCACTGAGTTGTACACTTTAGAAGTGTAAGTTTTACAGTATGTGAACTATAACTCCATTTAAAAAAAAAAAATGAGACCATCTGAGAAAAAGGGACCTTGATCTCCACGTCCACAGTGGAATAAGACCCCTCCCACCACCGGCCAGGTCTGGCACATGTGCGTCAGGGAACGGGGAGGAGGGGGCCCTTGGGCCAGGATCCCGTAAGACCAAGGTACCAGACACCAGACACCGCCCACCACCAGCACCAGCAGCACCGCAAGGACACACCGCTAACCAGAACCTGCTACCGCAGCCAGGCTACCCTAGGGCTCTTCCTCTGGGAGCTGCGGCTTCCCTGTCCTTCAATGCACCTCCGGTCTGCAGGTGGGCCCCACACCCTCCCCTCAATCGCGGAGCCACCGCAGGGGCCACTTCTGAGCCAAGTTCACTTCAAAGTTATGGGAGCTGTCAGCGATCCCCAACCTCCGTGCTCCTACCCAAGTCCCACCCCTCCTGCTCCCCAGCACCCTCTCCTGTTCCCACAAGTCCTTAAGTCAGGAAGTGTGCTCCCAGTCGTGGATGACAGCTATAAACACAGGTTCATATAAAGGTAGGTGGGGAGCAAGAAAAGGAAAGACTCTAGGCCGAGCCCAGATTCCCCTAAACCCTGGTCTGCAGAGAAAATACCTTGCAATACTTTCCAGGGAATTGGTAGGATTCTCTATTGGACCAGGTTTGTTGAGCCTTGGGAAGGAATTCTGGGTAACTCCTAGGTCCCCCAATTAAAATGGCTTTTCCTTACTACCCCCAAGCCACAGAACAAAGAGGCCCAGAGAAAAGTTGGGCTGGGCTTAAACCGAGCATTCTGAGACGGAGGATGGGATGCGAAGCGGTCACGGAGGGAGTACGTCGCAGAGGCACGAGGACACGGGGAAAGTGTCTGTGAGGCCTGGAGGAGTCCAGAAACGGGGTGGGGAGACGGGGAAGAATGCTGGCGGTCAGGAATGCGGGGCTGGGAAAGGCATGGACACCCGGACGGGGAGAGAGCTTGTGCCTGCAGAGACCAGGGGAAAGGCCTGGAGGGAAGGATGGGGGAAGGCCAGGGTCAGGATGGGAGAGAACGGGCGAGGCCGAGTTCAGGGCTGGGACAGAAGGACCAAGGCCGGCCGACGCCAGGGTCGGGGTGGAAAGGACCAAGAGGGGCCGGGGACCGAAGGGAAGGACGGAGCGGGATGAAAAGGATGCAGAGGAACCGGGATCGGGATGGGAAAGACCGAGCGGGGCCGACGCCGCCGGGCAGGGGGTAGAGCGGAGAGAGGCGCCCCGCGTACCTCTCCGGAGCTGGCCATGTCGAGGTGAGACCGAGCCGCGGCCGCGATAGCCGTGGCGCCAGGCCTCACGCCTAGCCGTCCAGAGATGCTCAAAGCCGGCGCGTCCACGGCTCCACAGAGACCTCGGCAGGGGGCGGGGCCTCCCGCCACTTCCGGCGCCCTCCCTACGCACTTCCGCTCGCCCGCCGGCTTGCCCTGCGCGGTCGCCATGTTGGGTGCGGCGCCGCCTCCAAAGCCTAGCTAAGGCGTGGAGTGAAACTGGGAGGACCCCAGGGGGTCGCTGCTTGCTCTCTGGCATCAGCTCTTAACTTTCACGACTTTAAATTTAAATAGCCACTCCTGGCTCGTGGCCGGTGGGACAGTGCAGCGAAAGTGAAGTCCCATGGAGGCAGGCACAATGGCTCCATGTTACTGCTGCACCCCCGGCCCTTAGCGCTGCGTGTCTGCTGAATGGTGAATGACTGAGTGAAGGAGGGCACCAGCCGCTGGCAGGGGTTTCTGAAGGATTCCAGCCTCCGTGTGATTCCAGGCCGGAAGACGTATTCAAATTCTGACACTTCAGATCTGTCTGACCCTCCAAGCCTCAGTTTCCCCACAAGGAAGATGACTGCTCTGCATCAGTGTGTCCATGAGCACCCTCCCTGCGACCTGAGCACGCGGCACCTGGATGAAGGGAAGGGCCTCGGGCTCGAAGCCCCTGCACTAGCCTGTTCTCCCTCCTCTCAGACAGGTTTCTTGGGGCGCACTTCTGTCCAGGCAGGGCTGCTTTGAAAAGCAGAGACATTCCAGCAAGAGCAGTCTCAGCTCATTACAAAGGTGAACCTCCGGTAGTCAGAGCTGCCTCATGGGGGAGCCAGCCACCTGAGAAAGTGAGTAGTTCCTATTCCAGGGCAGGGGAAGCTGCAGAGGAGTTAGAAGGAAATCCCACATTTCTATAAAACAGGACAACAGTCGTGTTGAGCAATGGATGGTGTATCCAGGGAGACAGTGAGGCAGGCAGTGATCGGACTGCCTAGGTGTTAGGGTCCAACTCCAGCTTTCTCACTTACAATTCGTGTGACCTGGGGCCAGCCACCTGTCCTCTCTGAGCCTCATTTTCCCAGCCCGCAAATGCGTGCTAAGAGGAAGACAGGTGGCAGCGTGGCATCCCCCTACTTAGCCTGGCCTGGGTGATGCTGGGCCTTTGCTTGGATCAGCCCCCCTGCAGGCCCTGGAGGAAAGGAGCAAGGCATAAAGGACTGTGCACGTCAAATGTGTGTCTCAGCTGTGCTTCTGGAACTTTTCAAGGGAAAGGATTGATGGGACAGATGCTCAAAACCACCCATCCAGCCCAGCTGTTACTGATATTCCCGTCACTCGGGTGTGCACATGGACAGTGACCAGTGTCTTCCCGAGGGCTCCAGCCCCAACCACCCTCCCATTCTTGTTCTTCCCCGAGGCCTCTGTCCCCAGTTGATGCAGGCCTGTCTGAGACAAGCATGCCCACCACCTGCCCAGGTGACTGTCTAGCTCCTGGGCCAACTCAGGCATCCTCGCCACAGGAAGCCTCTGGGGAAGCTTCCTGCCCTGGATGATACTCCTCCACCAGTCATCTGGGTTTGTGACCTTTTACTACCTTCTCTGTTGTTCAAAAAAGGCAAAATGATTGGGAAAAAAATAAAATAAAAAAAAAATGCATGGCTCAAATAGTGGCTGAAGGAAGGAGAGAGGGAGACAGGGCAGGTCTTTCTTTCCAGACTCTCCGCTCCTGCAGGGCAGGGTCTGTGTCCAGGCCACCCCAGTAGCCCCCAGCCCAGCACATGGGGCCTCGATGAATAACTGCCTGGAATGAATGCCAAGTTGAAAGCTTCCTTTCAGCCCCCAGAGCCCAGGGTGCCCCGCCACCGCCCATTGGCTCACAAGAGCTGGAACTGGCCAGGGAGGGACTTCCTTTCACAGACCTGGCTTCCCAGGCCTCTAAGACTGCATGGGGTTGGGGCACAGAGCCAGAGAAGTTCCTGAGCATTGGGCTCCCACGCACTCTGGGCCCGTGCTGCAGCCCATGGATTCCTGCTGTGATGTTTTAGGAACGAGACCAGGGAAACCTGCCCAGGTGAGCTGGGAAACTGGTCTCCTTGTTGGGGTTTGGAAGCCATCACAAGGTCTTAAAATAGTCTCCTTCCTTAATCACCTGGCACTAATAAAACCACTGTGTCTGAGTGGGCAAATCTCTGCCCTTCCTCTGTAAGATGACCCTTCCCGGGGCCACCGTGCCCCTCCACGAGGGCTTCGTCCAGGGGCTCCCCTCAAGCCTCAAACCTGGATTGATGGGGACACAATTGTGCCTCTGGAGAAACGGGGGCAAGATCCCTCAACCCGGGGGCCCTCACCCCTTCCTTCTCATTCTCTGCTGGAGTCAGCAGCAGCGGCTGGCGGAGGGAAGGGCAGGCCAGGCTGGGCTTTCTTCAAGAGCAGGTGACTGACCTGCAGCACCAGGGAAACCCCCCACCGGGAGCCCCGCTGCTTCTGCAGTGCCTTGGGAGGCTGAAACCAGGACCCCACTTGAGGCCCACGTGTGCACAGGAAGGCACCCGCCCTCCAGCCCCAGTGCAGACTCCTGACACGCCCAGAGCCTTCTGCCCAACCCGACACTCTAAGCCCAGCCCTGGACACACAGTGCCGCCCTGCAGACACCTAGGCAAGTCCCCTCTTCAGCTGTGCAGGATGGCTCCACGGGAGCAGGTAGTGAAGGGCCAGAGCCCTGTCCCCAGCCTATGGAGTGCATGGCCTAGGAGCACCGCTGCCCTTCCCAAGAGAACACGAGGATTGCCCGAGGGAGCCCTCATCCACAGGTGCTACCAAAGGCGCCCACCCAACCCCAGGAGTTGTGCGGTGCCTGGTGAACAACCCCCCCAAGTCACCTGCATCCCAGAACCTAAAAGCAGGGGCACTTGGGGACAGGTATAAAGGCCGGCCTGAGGGGCTCCTTTCACCGGTCTACAAGGCCAGGGTCCTCAACTCCTCCCCTGGAGTCCCCACCCTGAGACAGACATTTAGCATTCGAACACTTCAAAGCCCCTGGGAAACTGGGACAGCCTGGCCCCCACCCTCCTTCCAAACCCCACCCTGTTGCCCGAAACTCAGCCAGGTCACAAAAGCAAGTTTCTTTAAGGTGTGCACTTTATTGAACTGGTCTCAAGTCAGTGGACAGGTGAGCCCTGGCTGCCTCCACCCCTCAGCCCACTCCCGGGGGGACCGAAAAAGCCTTCATACATCTCGAGTTGGGGGACAAAAAAGGGGGGCCGTGATGGCTGGCCATTCAAAATAAAACAAAAAGAACAAGTATTAAGGCGAAGATTTAAAAATTTGGATTACATAATTTACACAAAAGCAACGCTATCACCCTCCCCTGTGTGGACTCGGGCGAGGACTGGCCCTTCTTAGGGAGACGTGGGTGGCTTTGGGGCAGGCAAGGGACTTCCTGTAACAATGCATCTCACGATATTTGGAATGACTATTTAAAAAAATGAACAATGTACAATCGAAGTCCTCGACCACACTGAAGAACTTTGGGGATGCCCGCTCCAACAGGCTGCTGTCACCTTCACCGTTCCAGTTTTTAAATCCTGAGTCAAGCGCCAAAAAAAATTCAAAAAAACAAACGAACAAAAAAAAAAAAAACAAATAAAGCCATGCCAATCTCATCTCGTTTTCTGCGCGCAAGTTAGGTTTTGTCAAGAAAGGGTGTAACCAACTAAGTAACAGTCCGCCTAGAAGCATTTGCGGTGGACGATGGAGGGGCCGGACTCGTCGTACTCCTGCTTGCTGATCCACATCTGCTGGAAGGTGGACAGGGAGGCCAGGATGGAGCCGCCGATCCACACGGAGTACTTGCGCTCAGGGGGCGCAATGATCTGGGGAAGAGAAGGAGACGGGGTGAGGACCCCAGGTGGCACCGCAGCAGCGCACCCCACCAGGGCCAAGCAGTCTGATGCGCCACGGGCCGGGCCGGGCCAGCTCAGGCTGGGCACACACTCACCTTGATCTTCATCGTGCTGGGAGCCAGGGCTGTGATCTCCTTCTGCATCCTGTCGGCGATGCCGGGGTACATGGTGGTCCCACCAGACAGCACTGTGTTGGCATAGAGGTCCTTACGGATGTCAACGTCACACTTCATGATGGAGTTGAAGGTAGTTTCGTGGATGCCACAGGATTCCATGCCTAAAGGGAATGAAGAGCCGACTTAGCTTTGCAGCGTGGCCACAACGGTGACCCTGGTTTGAGAGGCAAGGAGGCCCCACTCACCCAGGAAGGAAGGCTGGAAAAGGGCCTCTGGGCAGCGGAACCGCTCGTTGCCGATGGTGATGACCTGCCCGTCGGGCAGCTCATAGCTCTTCTCCAGGGAGGAGGAGGACGCGGCGGTGGCCATCTCCTGCTCGAAGTCCAGGGCGACGTAGCACAGCTTCTCCTTGATGTCACGCACGATTTCCCGCTCGGCCGTGGTGGTGAAGCTGTAGCCTCGCTCTGTGAGGATCTTCATGAGGTAGTCGGTCAGGTCCCGGCCAGCCAGGTCCAGACGCAGGATGGCGTGGGGGAGGGCGTACCCCTCATAGATGGGCACTGTGTGGGTCACCCCGTCACCGGAGTCCATCACAATGCCAGTGGTGCGCCCAGAGGCGTACAGGGACAGCACGGCCTGGATGGCCACGTACATGGCGGGCGTGTTGAAGGTCTCGAACATGATCTGTAGGAGGAAAGGGGCCTCGTCACACTAGGGACGCTGCAAGCGGCAAGCAGCCAGGCCAGAATAGGGAACATGCACAGTGCAAGGAACACAGCTAAGTGCACTAAGGACCCTGGAACAGGGATTCACTTCACACCTATTGTGCACCTACTGAATACACACTCCAAGGCCATTTTACATTAGCCTCGTTGGCTCTGTCACACAAGCCAGTGTTAGTACCTACACCCACAACACTTTGTACTTTCAAACACCTTGTCAGAAAAGCAAACACAAGAAAGATTTCATCTGGGTAAAAGCAAATAGAACCTGAAAAATTCCAAAGGAGACTCAGGTCAGAGAAGAAAGTCCTAGGAGAACAGCAGAACAACAAGAAGTGAGAAAGGGCGTGGTAC